CCAAACCGGCTCACAATCCCCAAAACACAACCCAGTCTCCCCAAACCAGCTCACAATCCCCAAAACACACCCCAATCTCCCCAAACCAGCTCACAATCCCCAAACCACACCCCAACAATCTCCCCAAACCAACTCACAGTCCCCAAAACACACCCCAACAATCTCCCCAAACCAGATAATAATCCCAAAAACCAGCTAATTATCCCAAAACAATCCTGAAAAACATCCCAACAATCCCCCAAACCAGATAGTAATCCCAAAACAATTCGCCCAAACCAGCTAATAATCCCAAAACAATCCCCAATAAACCTCCCAAACCAGATAATAATCCCAGAAAACAGCTAATAATCCCCAATCAACAATCCCCAAAAACACCCCAACAATCTCCCCAGACAGCAAAATAATCCCCAAACAATCAACAATCCCCAAAAACACCTCAACAATCTCTCCAGACAGCAAAATAATCCCAAAATAATTCCCAAAAAAAAGCAACAATCCCTCCAAACCAGCTCATAATCTCAATAACTAGCTAATAATCCCAAAACAGTCAACAATCCTCATAAAACACCCCAAAAATCCCCAAAACCTAGCTAATAATCTTAAAAACCAGATGATAATTGCAAAAAAATGATAATCCACAATAAACAACCAGTTTCCCAAAACACCAACTCTCCTAAAACAATCAAGTCCCAGAATCAAGTGATACTTCCTTTTAAAAAAAAGACACCTAAACAAACCTACAAACCCCCAAGAACATCAACCAATCCCCTGCAGATAGATGCCAAAATCCCAAACTGACCAATCCCCAAAACCTCCATCCCCACTTCATGCCCTCCAAATCTCCAGATAAACCAATACTGTACAAAACCGATCCCCCCAAATCGTTAATGCCTCTCAAAAATTGATAAGTTTCTCATGTTGTGGTTTTGTACTCAACTGCCCCATTCATGAATACTAGGACGTATACGATTTTCAAAAAACTTTCTCAACCTATCCTGCCACCATCAATTTACTCACATTTGTCCCTGATTCCTATGTTCCTGCATGTCTTTTAGAATCATTCCCTTTATTTTCTATGGCTTTGTTTTTCCTACCAAACTATATCACGGCATGTGTATATGCACTAATTTCCAACCACCATTGACTTTCGGCAAGATGGCAGCAGAGTAAGATGTGCCAGCCAGAGCTCCTCTGCTGCACTTGTTCTTTTCCTTTTTGCAGTTTTTTTTACCCCTCTTTTCTACATCTTTTTTCAACTAATGACTTAGAATTACCTAGAGGGGAATCGAGGAGCTGGCGAGCCCCAGAGGCATATTCTGGGGTAGAGGCTGGCACTGGGAAGCAAGTCCCAGAGTGGAGGCCGGCACTGAAAAGTGAGTCCCAGAGTAGAGGCCTGCACTGGGAAGTGAGTCCCGGAGTGGAGGCCGGCGCGGAGAAGTGAGTGCCAGAGTAGAGGCCGGCGCGGAGAAGTGAGTGCCGGAGTAGAGGCCGGCACTGGGAAGTGAGTCTCGGAGTGGAGGCCGGCACTGGGAAGTGAGTCCCGGAGTGGAGGCCGGCACTGGGAATTGAGTCCCGGAGTGGAGGCCGGCACGGAGAAGAGAGTCCCGGAGTAGAGGCCGGCACTGGGAAGTGAGTCCCGGAGTGGAGGCCGGCACGGAGAAGTGAGTCCCGGAGTAGAGGCCGGCACTGGGAAGTGAGTCCTCGAGTAGAGGCTGGCACTGGGAAGTGAGTTCTGGAGTGGAGGCCGGCACTGAGAAGTGAGTCCTGGAGTAGAGCCGGCACTGGGAAGTGAATACCAGAGTAGAGGCCGGCGCGGAGAAGTGAGTCCCGGAGTAGAGGCTGGCACTGCGAAGTGAGTCCCGGATTGGAGGCCAGCACTGGGAAGTGAGTCCCAGAGTGGAGACCGGCACTGGGAAGTGAGTCCCAGGGAAAATTTACCTTGGAGCAGCTGAGAGCCAGCGCGAAGTGGGGATGGTTGTTGGACTGGGGTCTTGCACGGGTGGTCAGACCTAGTGTGGAAGCCCCTGCACTGAGCTACTGCAATGTAATGTTTATTTGTAATCTGTTTATCTGACTGTAATATCTATCCTTTTAACTATGTCTTATTTCTACCTTATACTATGAATCACTGTAAGGTCATGCAAGAATTTTTCTTTTTTATTTCTATTTTTTGTACCTAAGATTTGTATTTGGTTACTTTTACCTAAGATGGCACCATAAGAGGTGACATTGTAAAACTTTTCACTGTACTCCTGTACTTCTGTACTTGAGTACACAAGACAATAAAGGATATTCTATTCAGTCAGCTATATTATGTCCACTTGAAATCTATTATTATCCTTCTCACAGTCCAAGACTCTGAATTTTGTCATCTACACTACTTTTGAAATTGTGCCCCGTACGGGTTATTTATATAGATCATCTCTGTGACACCTGTGATGACAAGTTCATCTCAAATATTTTTTATGAAATGGAATTGGGAGCAGGAACTGTACCTGAAAGGCAGCCACTAATTCTCACATGTCCATGTCCCATGTCTAACCCTCCCTCTCATCCCCGCCTCCTTGACCTGACACAACCTGTCCGTCTTCTCTCCTAGATAACAAGGTGTAAAGCTGGATGAACACAGCAGGCCAAGCAGCATCAGAGGAGCAGGAAGGCTGACGTTTCGGGCCTAGACCCTCTCCTACCCATCCGCCCCTCCCACCTCACTGACCAATCCCCACCTGCACTCACCTATCACCATCCCACCTACCTTCCCCAGCCCCATCTCTCCTCTATTTATTTCTGAGCTCCCTTCCTCCTCCCTATTTCAGAAGAAGGGTCCCGATCCGAAACGTCAGCTTTCCTGTTCCTCTGATGCTGCCTGGCCTGCTGTGTTCCTCCAGTTCCACACTATTATCTGTGACTCCAACATCTGCAGTTCTTGCTATCACATATGTAATCTGTTTGATACAAAACACACCTAAGTGCTTGTATATAAAATGGTACACTTTTAATCCACTACTGAATGTATTACACACAAACAGAAATTACTGGATAAGTTGGCAGGTCTGGCAGCACTTGTGGACAGAAAGTAGAGTCCAGTGATCTTCTTCGGAACTGGACATATTACCTTTGAAATGAGGGTTTGTTGAAAGATCTGCTGCCTACCATTAAGGGGAGGCAATGGTCTAGTGGTATTATCACTGGGCTGTTAATTCAGAGACCCAGATAATGTTCTGAGGTCCTGGGTTTGAATCCTGCCATAGCAGATGATGGAATTTGAATTCAATAAATATCTGGAATTAACGATCTAATGATGACTGTGAATCCATTGTCAATTGTCGGGGAAGAACCCACCTGGTTCACTAATGTCCATTAGGGAAGGAAACTGCTGTCCTTACCTGGTCTATCGTATATGTGACTCCAGACCCACAGCACTACAGTAGACTCTTAACTGCCCTGTGGGTAATTAGGGATGGGCAATAAATGCTGGCCTAGCCAGTGATGCATATGACCCACAAATGAACAAAACAAATTATCAAGGACACAGTAGTTTCACAGGAAGAATCATAATTCATTCTTGATCATATGCCTTTTCAAATATTTATGGATAAACATTTATCTGGTTCTTGCACATGTTTATTAAAACAGAACTTACTCGAAATACACAGCAGGCCAAATGTGTGAGTTCAGTAATTCGAGTAAGTTCTGTTTTAATAAAACATAACATGATTGATGTTTATTCATAAGCAGAATTCTAAAAGATCTCAGACTTTTTTGTGCTGACATCTTTTTATATTTCTCCACCTATAAGTTTATAATCCAATTCACCATTTCTCAGCTAATAGGATCCTTCATCTCAGCCTATGGAAGAGGTGAGAGGAGGAGCTGGACAGGCACAAAGAGAATGACACCTCCCTGGAATCATGCCAGCTTCTCCTCTCCTCCCACCCCGAATCCCACATTATCGTGAACACAGCAGGCCAAGCAGCATCAGGGGAGCCGGAAAGCTGACGTTTCGGGCCTTTCTGAAGAAGGGTCTAGGCCCGAAACGTCAGCTTTCCCTGATGCTGCTTGGCCTGCTGTGTTCATCCAGCTCTACACCTTGTTATCTCAGATTCTCCAGCATCTGCAGTTCCTACTATCTCCCTCATTATCGTCTTCAGGATCACTTCTCCCTCACTCCAGAATCCTCTCTTTACAATCCAGGCCAGGTTTCCCTACCCTCCCTCAGATTCAGCACCAGCCCCGACAACACCAACACAGCCCTCCTGGAACTGCCCACAGACTCCAGGATTCCGCCCCACCCCCCGCCCGCACAGACTCCGGGAATTCTCCCAACCCACCATAGACTCCAGGATCCCCTACCTCTGAGAGTCCAGGCCGGAATTACTGCCTCTCTCTCTCTGATGGTGGTGATTACTGCGGGGCCTGGACATGGTGAATCTGGGCCTCCGCCGGGTGGAGGACTCGGTGGCGGCGAAGCACCCGGTAAGGAGCCCCTTCAGCCTGGTCAGGGGAAACCTGACAGACCACTATCCTCCCTGCATTCCTTACACATTCGCTTCCCCCTTCCCAACAACAGTGGTCTTGTAGTGAAACCTGTGGAGGGTGAGCTGAACTCCTGCAACATTTTGTAAGAATGCTGCCTGTGCTGCGGGCTTGCAGTTTATTTGGTGACCTGGGGCTGAAACCGCTTTCAGAGTTTGTGGTGTGTGAGCTCAGGCTCTCTCACTGCACCTTTACCTAATTAACCACCTTCCTTCCGTCTGCAGGCTCTTCAGGAATATGCTGCTTGCCAGTCGCATGCCTTCATGAAGGGCATTGGCACATTTATATTAGGTAATTATGCAGTTTTGAAATTTCACGATGTAACACTGTGCTCATTGCTTTAAAACTTTATTTTTCTTTGATAAAATTTCTGCAGGTACCAGTGGGGTTTTTGTTATGCAGACGTTGCTGAATAAGAAGTTACCTCTGCCAATGCAGTGGAACGTTTTGCTGTCGGTAGGTCAGTACATTATCAGTTCTGAGTAATATTTTGTTGTATTGCACAAGTTTGGAAATTGATTAATAGCTGTTGCTCCATTGATGCCTTTATGGGAATCTTCAATTTTGCCTGGAACTTTCCCTGCAACATAGATATTTTTCTGAGTGCTTCACAGGACCTCAAAAGAATTTTTTAAAAATGAAATAACAGCATCCCCAGGATTTATGAAAGCACCTCTGAGCCAATGGGTTACCTTTTAACATTTACTTACTTGCTACATTTGAGAGGTCCCACAACAGAAGTTAGATAAATGACCAAGTATTTGTCTTCTCAAATTTTGGTTAAGAGCTAGGCATTGACCTGGAGAATACCATTGGAGCAGGAGGTTTCTGGGACTGGGGCAGGTTATTGCTATTATTACTGTTAATGATGCCTTCTATTGCTTTGCTGACGATTGAGATTAGACTAATGGGTCAGTTATTGACCGGGGTTGATTTATTCTGTCTTCTGTAGAAGTGACATACTTGGGTAATTGTTTAATAAATTACTGATCCTCTGTACAGCAACAGGGTCGTTGATGAGTTATGTAGTGACACGTCTGGAGACTCAGAAGTGCTCAAATCTGTGGGTTTACCTTGAGACTGGAACAGTGCCACGTAGTCCTGATGAAGGTGAGAAGGAAGATCGTGTGAATTAAACTGTGCTGAGTCCGGGAAAGCTTTTCTGTATTCCCATGCAAAGGAGGAAAAGTGTTTTTTGAGATATAAAAAGATATAGTTCTAAACAAAAGTAGACCTGAAAGTAACTTGGGGTGATGCATTGAGTTAAACTGCTTTTCACCTCAGTCATTTGTGTTTGAGACAGGGGAAGAGAGTAACCAAGAATTGAAGACTTTCCAGTTCTAAGTTAGTTTTGGTGAAGTGACTAAAATTTATCATCAGAGACAGTGTGTGACTGAGCATTTGGACAAGTGTGAACTAACCAGTGAGTCAGCAAGATATGAGTGAAGGTATATCTGACTAATCTAGAGGAACTTTTTGATTTCACATTCAATAGATAAAGGATGTTATTTCTGCAAACTTAAAAGACATTTGATAAGGATTCACAACAGGTTATCAATAATGTGAAAACTTATAGAAGTCTGGGTGCAGTAAGAACCCTCAGACTCCTGTATGTCACATTAAAATGAATGTAGGCCAAACCTGCTGAACCTTTCCACATAAGACAAACTTCTTCATTCCAGGAATCCGTCTGGAACCTTTTGTTAACTGCTTCCATTGGAAACATGGCCCTACTTAAGTGAGGAGATTAAAACTGTACACAATATTCCAAATTTGGTCTTGTTAATATTCAGTATAGTTAGTGCAACATATCCCTATTTTAACACACCATTCTCTTTGCAACAAAGGCCAACATCCCATTAATCTTAATTACTTGCTTTACCTGCAAGCTGACTTTTTGTGATTCATTTACAAGGGCACCCAGGTTCCTCTGGACTGCAGCATTTTACAGTCTCTCAGTTTAAGTAATATTCAGATTCTCCTCTTCCTGCAAGTTCACGTTTTTCTACATTATACATCTAATCAAAACCGGGTCCCTAGCACTGTGAGGCAGCAGTGCTAACCACTGAGCCACTGTGCTACCCCTTAGCCAGTTCAAATGGGCCAAATGGTCAACTGTACTGCATGGTTCTATAATTCTCCTGTTTTTGCAGTTACAACGGATCAAAACAATGGCTCTGTGGAAAGCACTGACACGGGAAGAAAGAAAACTCAATATGGAGATATAATGGATTAATTGCTGAGTTTTTACTTTATTCAACCAACGTGCAGGAGGAGGAAATGTTCCCTGCTCTATTCCAGCTCAAACAGTGCACAATTTTCATTTCATTTTAGTTCCACTCCCTACTTCTGCTTATCTCTTCCTGAAGATGTTATTTTAGTACATCATCGAGTCACGGGTGAAAATACACAAAGGCATTAGGTGAATTCACCCTAGGAACCCCTGAGAAAAAAGTTCAATTACTGGAGCGACCTATCGGAGAAATGTACATGAAAGTGACCGAATCTGTGAGACACTGCTCCTCTAGTCTAGCTTTCCGTTGTGCTTGCTGCTACTGAATTCACAAGTGAGTTCAGTCACATGAAGACCCACATCAGAAGCCTGTATTCCTGAGGGACAAGTAACAACAGTGCTGTTCTCGCACGGTTATCTGCACAGCCGCTCACTAATCTGATTAAATACACTTTGTACAGTCCAAACCTCATCTCGCTTTTTACTTTATAATACCAAATTTTGGGGCTCAACCTCTTGCTAAATTATTCTAAACTTTCCACCCCTGCACTAGTTATCTTCTCAGTGAGGATGTTGGTCCTAGGATAGGGTACTTTGAAGATAAGGAATGTAAGAAAAAAAAAGGGAATCCACCATTACTCTTCCTGAAGTCAGTGGCTGCAAAAATCTTTTATGAGCCTTCTGTTTTGAGCAGAACACGATGGTCATAAGTTAGTGATGTAAGTCATGCTGTGTAACATGACATACAAACACTAAATTGATTTCTTTTAAATTCTCAGCCTTGCTGTCAAATGATCCGTGGAGCTCAACACCCTCAGAGACCTCGGTATTCCCCTAATTCTGTTCCCTTAGCAGCCTTTATTTTAATCCATTCACCAATGGGAATCATGTTTACAGCTGCCTAGAGCCATAGCTTCAGAATTCCCTTCCTCTTGGTCTCACTGTCTCCCTGCCTCCATCCTCAGCCTCCCTCTCTGTGATTACATTCCTTTCTTTTAAACTACTTTAAAATTGTATCTCTTTAACTAAGCTGTTGGACACTTGATGTGTCAGAATTTAGTTGATTACTCTTCTGTGAAACTGCACGTCAACCTTATATAAGGCAATGCTGCACAAAATGACATGACAGTGCATACTGCCATCTAAAAGAACAGAGTACAATGTTGTGTTGTCTAACTCAATAAATGTGAGTAAGGAGACAAGTTCTATTGTGTTGCAGTTTATTCTTTAATCGTGAAAGACAGAATATTATCTCTGTTTTGTAATTAAGGGTTTGATAACGGAATATGTATCGCATTTTGGTCACCAATGAGGCATGGGATGGGAGTCTGCACATTGATAATCCAATCATGGATACATCAGGTTTTGATTTTAATTCTTCGAGAGATGAAAGAGTTGTTAGACAATACAATCATGGAATGTTATATTCTGTACAGAATAGTGACGTGTTAGAATGTATAACATTGTATTAAATGACTTGTTACAGTTAACTACATAATATAATAACAAGCTTTCTTATGTAACCCTCTGAATCATAGACTCAGACAACACAGAAACAGACCGTTCAGTCGAACTCATCCATGCTGACCAGATATCCTAAATAAATCTAGTCCCATTTGCCAGCATTTGGCCCATATCCCCCCAGCCCCTTCCTATTCATATACCCATCCAGATGCCTTTTAAATTTTGTAATGTTACTAGCCACCATCACTTCCTCTGGTAGCTCATTCCATACACACCATCCTCTGTGTGGAAAAGTTGTCTCTTAGGTTCCTTTTAAATCCTTCTCATCCCACCTTAAACCTATGCCATCTAGTCTCGGACTCTCCTATCCTGGGAAAAAGACCTTGACTATTCACTCTACTCAGGCCCCTCCTGATTTTGTAAACCTCTAGAAGGTCTCCCCTCAGCTCCCAACGCTCCAGGGAAAACAGCCCCAGCCTCTTCCTACAGCTCAAACTCTCCAACCCTGGCAACATCCTTGTAAATCTTTTCTGAATCTTTTCAAATTTCATAACATCCTATAGCAGGGAGACCAGAATTACACACAGTGTTCCAAAAGTGGCCAAACAAATGTCCTGTACTGCTGCAATATGACCTCCCAGCTCCTGTTCTCCATGCACTGACCAACAAAGGTAAGCCTACCAAATGCTTTCTCCACTATCCTGTCTACCTGTGACTCCACTTTCAAGGAAGTATGAACCTGCGCTCCAAGTCTCTTTGTTCAGCGACGCTCCCTAGGACCTTACCATTAAATGTATAAATCTTGCCCTAATTTGCCCTACCAAAATGGAGCACTTCACATTTATCCAGATTAAATTCCATCTGCCACTCCTCGGGTCCACCTGCCCATCTGATCAAGGTCCCATTGTACTCTGAGGTAATCTTCTTGGCTGTCCGCTACACCTCCAATTTTGGTGTCATCTGCAAACTTACTAACCATACCTTCTATGTTCACATCTAAATCATTTATATAAATGACAAAAAGCAGTGAACCCAGCACTGATCCCTGCAGCGAACTGCCAGACACAGACCTCCAGTCTGAAAAGCAACCCAACACTACCACTCTGTGTCTCCTATCTTCTCGCCTATTCTGTATCCAAATGGCTAGTTCTCCCTGCATTCCGTATGATCTAATGTTATTTGCTATTCCATCATGCGGAACCTCAGCAAATGCCTTACTGAAGTCCATATAGACTGTGTCAACTGCTCTGCCTTCCTCAATAATCGTCATTACTTCTTCAAAAAACTATCAAATTTACGAGATAAGACTTCCCACACACACAGCCAAGTTGACTATCCCTAATCAGTCCTTACCTTTCCAAATACATATAAATCCTGCCCCTCAGGATTACCTCCAACAACTTGCCCATGACCAATGCCAGGCTCACTGATCTATAGTTCCCTCACTGTTCCCTACCACCTTTCTTCAATAATGGCACCACATCAGCCAACCTCCAGTCTTGCAGCACCTCACGTGTGGCTGTCAATGGTAGAAATATCTCTGCAAAGGGCCCAGCAATCACTTCCCTAGCTCCCCACAGAGTTCTAGGGCACTCCTAATCACATCCTGGGGATTTATCCACCTTTATGCGTTTTAAGACATCCAGCATCACCTCCTCCGTAATATGGACATTTTTCAAGATGTTGCTATTCATTTCCCCAAGTTTTCTATCTCCCATATCCTTCTCCATTGTAAAGACTCATGCGGTATCTCATCCATCTCCTGCGGTCCATACATAGGCAGCCTTGCTGATCTTTAAGGCTTGTTAGGTGGTGTTTCCCCTGTTCTACATAGTGAGCCTGTGAGGAAATATCACGACTCACTGGGGAAGTGATCTGGAAGTCAAGGTTTGGTACTTCCCGGAGTCATCTGAAAAGATTTAATGAAACTACAAAAAAATCCCAATTTGCCTCTGATTGTCACCCAGTATAAAAACAAACCACATCAGGTTCCTTCAGTAACAATATTAAAAAAAATTATCGCAACACTTTTAACATTAACCAGAATAGTAAAAAAAAAGATTTCTAATTTATGTATTTCAGATTTTACCCCTTTTAAAGCAGACCTTCACATACATAGAAACACGTGAAAAGACACTCAAAAATACACAAACACACAGACACATGGAGACAGACACAGAAACAGAAAAGCACAAATAAGTGGAAGGAAGATAAAGGAACACAATTCTATAACACCTGACCAAAATCACAAGAATAGATGGGATTAGTTCATTTTGGGAAAGCTGATTGGCATGGACAAGTTGGATTGAAGTGTTTGTTTCCATGCTGTATGGCTCCGTGATTCTATGGGTTGGTTCACAGTCCTCAGTTTCTTGATCATACTTCAATTCTCTACACAGTGAGGAGCAATCTACAGTTCACTTGAGTGCTAGTTGGACTGGGCTCTTTCTTGCCTTTGTGTTTTAGAATTCTTTATTTCAGCATCTCGATATAGATTTCTACTCTCTCAGCGTATAATTGGAGAGATCAATTTTACAGAGAAAGGGGAGAGAGAAAAAGGTTGATGTGGCTAGCTTCAGGAGGTATTGCTCGCTTCCTGCTCTCACTCCCCTCTCAATCTGTGTTAAACTGCAACCTGATCAAATCAGGCTTGGTGCTATGTTGACCATTCCTAAATCTACAACAATCGGTGCCAATTGCAAAGCAAATCAAGAGACTGTGTCAGAGTGGAGTTTCCCTTAAAAAAAAATGTAAGAATTGTACAAGCCCCAGCACTTCTAAACCGAGAATAATCCAGAGGACCAGGCTAATGCCCTGGTTATACAGTCTCTAATCCCACCATCGCAACAAAATTTAATTAATAAATTTGGAAGTGGTGAGGATGACATAAATAATGCAGTGGGATATAGGTTGAGTGGACAAAATCTTGGTAGATGAAATATAATTTGAGTTATGAACTTTGACAGGAGTAATAGAGGAGCTGAATATTATTTGAATGGAGAAAGACTGCAGAAGGTTACAGAAGAGGGATTTAGGAGTCCTTGTCCATGAATCACAAAAAATTAGCATCCACGTAGGGAAGGCAAATGGAATATTGGCCTTAATTTCAAAGAAGATGAAGTATAAAAGTTGGGAGGTTTTTGCTAAAACTTTACAAGGCTGTAGTCAGATCACAACTGGCATACTGCAAATAGTTTTGGACCCCTTATCTAAGGAAAGGTGTACTGGCATTGGAGCAGTCCAGAGAATGTTCAGTAGGCTGATCTCGGGTATGGGGGACTGTCTTATTGCAGAGGTTGAGTAGATTTAAGGCAGATGAGGAGGAATTTCTTCTTTCAGTGGATAGTATATCTGTGAAATTCTTCACTGCAGAGGGCATTTGAGACTGGGTCATTAAGTATATTCAAGGCTGAAATAGGAGATTTAATCAGGAAGGGAATATAGGGTTATGGAGGAAAGGTAAGAAAGTAGAATTGAGGATTTTCAGATCAGCTGTGGTCTCATTGAATGGTGGAGAAGACCTAATGGGCTGGCCTATTTCAGTCCCTACTTCTTATGGATTCACACATCCCTGACATTGGAGTTCCAGCTTCGGATGGAATCTGGATGCTGAGCAGAAACCCAAGGCCAGCGGAGTGAAGATATGTACAGGTTGAATCTGGCAGGGGGAAGAGGCCACAACTTGGAAACAGGAGTTTGGAGAAAGGCTTAAATTTAAAGGGTTAAAGAGTCACTGCAGTGGTCCAGTAAGATCATGGAAATGGGATTTCCAACAGATGTGTGACAAGCTATTGCAGTGAGGGTTAATTGTCAAGACAAGAACTTCTGGAGTGAGGGGCAATATAGCAGCATTTAAAAAGAATTAGTTAATGGATAAGAAGCATTGAGTGGTCACAGTTGTGGCATTTCCATGTTGACATACTGCAGATTCTGGCAAGGATTAATGCTGGAGCCTCAACTGTTTACAGTGGATATTAATAATTTAGATAAAGATTCAGAAAATAATGTTTCTAAATTTGTGGATTATGCCAAATGAGATGGTAAAATAAGTGATAGGAAGGACACCATGAGGCTGCAAAGAGACAGGCTTAGTGAATGGCCAACAGGATGGCAGACAGCATAAAATGTGCGTAAGTGTGAAACTTCATTTTGGTCATGGGAAGACAAGAAGACCCACCAACCTCCGGATCCAACACATCGTCCTCCGACATTTCCGCCATCTGCAATCCTCTACCACCAAAGACATTTTTCCCTCCCCACCCTTATCTGCTTTCCAGAGGGACCACTCTCTCCGTGACTCCCTTGTCCGCTCCACACTCCCCTCCAGCCCCACCACACCCAGCACTTTTCCCTGTAACCGCAGGAAGTGCTACACCTGCCCCCACACCTCCTCCCTCACTCCCATCCCAGGCCCCAAGAAGACTTTCCACATCAAGCAGATGTTCACCTGCACATCTGCTAATGTGGTATACTATATCCACTGTTCCCGTTGTGGCCTCCTCTACATCGGGGAAACCAAGCAGAGGCTTGGGGACCGCTTTGCAGAACACCTATGCTCGGTTCACAATAAACAACTGCACCTCCCAGTCGTGAACCATTTCAACTCCCCCTCCCATTCCTCAGACAACATGTCCATCTTGGGCCTCCTGCAGTGCCACAACGATGCCACCCGAAGGTTGCAGGAACAGCAACTCATATCCTGCTTGGGAACCCTGCAGCCCAATGATATCAATGTGGA